CCCCGTTCCCAGCACTCTCCTCTTGGTTGGGGTGCCTCAGTTGTCCCCTGCTCCCCTCCCAGTCCCTCCCAGTACCTTGAAGTAGGCGAGGAACTGGCGCAGGGTCATCTCCTGCCCGTCGGGCTGCAGCCCCTGCACCTCGAACCGGTCCCACAGCGTCCACTCCACCTCGTAGTACTGGGGACACGGTGGGGACGGTCAGAGCTGGGGGGGGGGGGATCCCAAATCCCCTTTGGGAGCGACCCCCAGCCCCACTGCGACCCCAAATCCCCACTGGGAACAGAGCCCAGCCCCACTGTGACCCCAAATCCCTGCTGGGAGCAAAGCTTGGTCCCACTGTGACCCCAAATCCCCACTGGGAACAGAGCCCAGCCCCACTGTGACCCCAAATCCCCACTGGGAACAGAGCCCAGCCCCACTGCGACCCCAAATCCCCACTGGGAACAGAGCCCAGCCCCACTGCGACCCCAAATCCCCACTGGGAACAGAGCCCAGCCCCACTGTGACCCCAAATCCCTGCTGGGAACAGAGCCCGGCCCCACTGTGACCCCAAATCCTCACTGGGAACAGAGCCCAGCCCCACTGCGACCCCAAATCCCCACTGGGAACAGAGCCCAGCCCCACTGCGACCCCAAATTCCCTCTGGGAGCAAAGCCTGGTCTCACTGTGACCCCAAATCCTCACTGGGAACAGAGCCCAGCCCCACTGTGACCCCAAATCCCCTCTGGAAGTGACCCCCAGCCCCACTGTGACCCCAAATCCCCTCTGGAAGTGACCCCCAGCCCCACCATGACCCCAAATCCCCTCTGGAAGTGACCCCAGCCCCACCATGACCCCAAACCCCCTCCGGCCACCCCGCAGTGACCCCGCCCGGCCCTGGCAGTGCCCACCTTGTTGCGGGGGCACGCGAGGGGCTCGGAGAAGCCCACGAAGGGCAGGGCCAGGTTGAGGAAGGCGTTTTTGTAGGAGCTCAGCCGGCGGTGCCCCTGCACCAGCTTGAAGAGCTCCAGGCACGCCAGGCCCACCACGGCCGCCGTGGTGGTGGCGATGGCCGGGATGATCTTCCCCGCGATCAGTTTGCTCTGGGGGACAGAAAAAAGGGATTTAGGGTTTGGGGGATGGCCCCAAGAACCAGCCTGAGGGATTCACAGCCCACCCCAGAACCCCACGGCCACTGTGGGGTCCATATGGGCTCTGTGTGTGCCCCACACATCCCAGAATAACCCCTGAAATACCCCAAAACACCCCCCAACACCCATAAAAACCCCATAGCACCCCACAATAACCCCTGAAATACCCCAAAACACCCCCCA